TTCCAAACCCTGCAAGGCACCTCTGTAAACACTGCCAGAGATATGAAGAAATTTCTACAGTGCCCTGTTCTCATAGGGCTTTCACTGCTCATGAGGAGAGAGAAATGAAATTTGTGAATCTCAATGTTGTTCAAAAATAACTGCAGGATTCCACCCACTTAAGTGAGAAGTCTAAAATAAACTCACAGACGCCTAGAGAAGAACGGTGGTTACCAGGGACAGTGGGGGAGGGTGGCTGAAATGGGGATCGGTGTTCAATGAATATAAAGTTACAGTTATGCAAGATGAATAAGTTTAAGAGATCTGCTGGACAACACAGTGCTTAGAGTGAACAATACTGCATTATGCGCCTAAACATTCATTAAAGGAGCAGGTCTTGTGTTGTATGTTCTTACAACAAAAACAAATAAGTAAATAAAGAAATACAATATTGGATGAGATTGTAATGGGAGAATGATGTTTAAGTTCTCTGGCTCAGTGGGGAGGGTGTTCAAGGAAGCCTGGTCAAGCCCACTTATGGGGTCATCCAAATGGGTGCAGAGAATCTGAGATGGTCACTGAGAGACTGAGGCCATAAAATAGGTCAGAGACAAAGAATTAAGGACACAAGGGGTGTGTGAGCCAGAGCCAACCAAGGTGCTTGTGGAGCAGAGGGTTCTGTGGATTAGGATTTCAGGTTGAGTGGCAGGGAAGGAGCTGTTCTATCTGCAGAACCAAGGAAACCAAGACTGGTTGGGGACACAGGATGAAAGAGGTTTTACAGAAATACTGGAGGGGGATTTGGAACTGGCAATGTCCTAGAAGTAGTGAGAAAGGCAAGATCAGCTATCAGGAAAAAAGCCAGTTGGAATTCTGGTTGTAGAATGAGTCCCAACAAATGGGAACTGCTGCCATCAGAAGTGTGGGGAGAAGGACAGGGCTGAGACCCATCTGGAGGAGGAAGCCCTTTGTCCTGGCACACATGAGATCCAGCAGGATCTGGTGAAATAGGAACCTTGCACAGTGTAGGCAAAGCAGTGTCTTGGGTGGACAGGTGGTCATACTGTGCTGCTCTGGAACACGCTTCCTCACTGCAGTGTGGACGTGCCTGCTAGACAGCTGTGGGTTCCTGTGGGACACCTGACTCAGTCCTCTGTTCTGACCCTGGCTGTGCCTCTGGCCAGGCCAGAGCTGGACAGTGGAAAGCACGCCTCAGGCTTCCTCCCACAGGGCCCTGGCCTCCTGTCCTGGAGCACGTAGAGTCTTGCAGCTCTTCCTTGGCGGATGAGGAAACGCCAAGGAGAAGGAGTGTATTTGGGCGCTCGCCTGAGCGTCCTGTCCCTGCGTGGGTATGGGAAGAATGGGCAGTAACTCTGAGGGTGGCTGCTCTGGGGTGGATGTTTGATGTGTGTGGGCCCCACAGGAGGAAGGGGCTCTGATCATCGAGGGACTCCTCAACATCGCCTGGGGACTCAGACGGCCCATCCGACTCCAGATGCAAGATGACCGGGAGCGAGTGCACCTCCCCTCAGCTTCGTGGGCACCTGGACAGCCCAGCTGCCCACTGTGAGTGCCCAGAGGGCAGAGTGGGGTCAGTGGGCCTCATGACACCTTTCAACCCTAGCATTACTGTTTAGGGTGTTTGTGGGATAGGCTCAGCCTCAGAGTGGACAACCCACTCTGGACAGGTTCTGGCATGGGAGCGTAGCCCAGCCTGGCTTCCATTGTCCTGTGACTACCTCGGTCCTTCCTCACTTTATGTGCACAAAATGCAGCCTTGCCCAGGGTAACCTTGCTAGATAACAACCACATTGTCTCCCTCACAGAACATTCCTAGGCTTCCATCACCTCCATTTTACATTGCTGGAGGGGGATCCCAGGGCCAAGCACCCTACCACTGAGCTGCATTCCAAGTCCATTCAAACCTTAACTGCAGGGGGAGGGGGGACTAGGAAATCACACAAATTTAGCTTCCTACCACTCTATTTTATTTTAATGTCAGATTTTATTTTTGTAAATATGTTAGAGTTTAAGATCAGACTTATTTTCGGGAGAATGTTTTGATCAGAAGGACAAACTGTTTCATGGACGTTCACCTCCTCCCACACTCCTACCTCTCAAAAGGGCACTTTGCTTGTTTCTGCATAGTATGCCTCTTTTTAAGAGGCAAGCATTCAGAGCTGTGCCCCCTACAAACCTGGAGGTAAAACAGATGCTCTGGGATGACTCACCATGTTGACACATAAGCATATCCCCATATGCTCCAAGGACAGGTCTGAAGTGCCTAAAGACCTTCTGGGCTCCATGAGACAGCATATCCCCATGTGTCCCTCGTCACTTGTAGCAAATTTTGAGCCACACAGACTTAAAGCATAAAGAAAAACTGGAGAGCTATGGGTTCCTGAAAAGCAGTAGTGTGACCCATGTTCCTTTCCTGAAATAAATCTGGTCCCAGGTGCTATCAGCAATTGCAGACAGCAGCCCATGTATTCGCCTGGACTCTCCTGTCTGATTCTTCCTGGTAACGCTTTATTGCAGGCAGTATCCCATTGTGCCTGTTCTTTCTCCATCCTGGCATGGACTATATGGGCATGGGGTCAGTCCTACAAGAAATGTGGAGGATGGCCCTTTGGAGGTTGCCTCTGCCTGACTCCCTACCAGGCCCTTGGAAAACTCAATTTTCAAAATTGTTCAGGGCCCTGAAGCTGAGCCCACTGGGTACATAGCTGCATAGAGATGCACGGCACTGGCCCTGTGCATGTGTCTAGATCTTGCAGCCTAGCATGGCCACTAGGGTCTATGGGGCTAGACATTTGCTCTTCCCGGAGATGCCTGTGGGAAAAATTTGCATTTCTTTGGTTTTTTGCATTCACTTGTCTCAGCTTGGCCCATTTCTGTCCTGTATCCTGCCCCCAGAGGCAGCCAGCTTCATCTCTTTGGCCTAAGCCACCTGAGCTTTTGTCTCTTTTCAGAAAGGAACCACCTCCCCAGGACAGCAAAATCACTGCTGAGGAACCAAGCACTCAGACTGTGCCCAAAGCTGAGAGTTCCAGAGATGGCTCAGGTAAGTGGAGCTCAGGAGCTTCAGGACCTTGTTTCATCCAGGGAACGAGGGGATTGATGCACAACCACAGTCTCCAAAGTGCAGGCTTGTGGAATAGCCCCAAATGGCTTCATTTATCTTAGGAGTGACCCGTTCTAATAGAAAGCACTTTGCTTACAACCTCGTTTACTCCCCTTTATGGAAAAGGGAACAGAGACTTGCAGAAGGGTCACAGTGTGTCAGTGCCTTGAGTCCCCTGCACTGTGTCAATGCTATACAAAGAAGGAACATCAGCAGAAGGCGTGGTGCCCTCCTGGCCCTAGGACTCTGGGGGCTTCATTCATAATCGCTCATCTGTCCTCTTTGTGCCTCTTCCCTTAGCACTCAGTGAAGGAGTGGGTGCACAGAGGACAAGTCTGAAGTGCCTAAAGACCTTGCTGGGCTCCATGAGACAGACAGGGAGGCTTATGGTCACATGATGTGACACAAGTTACACATTCCTGTCTGCAAACTGTCTGCAAATTGTCCAAGCTCTGCCCCTGCCTCTAACACTAATGCCATTGTGTTCTGCAGTGTGGTTTGACCACAGGATTCTTGGGAGCCTCACAAATCCCAAAGGTGGCCTGGTGGCTAGACCCACGGCAGTTTCTCTGCCGCCGCCCTCCACTCTGCCACCATCTGGTCCATTTCTCTCCATAGGGTCCCTGGAGGAAGAGGAGGAAGTACCACAGTTGATGAGGACCAAGAGTGATGCCAGCTGTATGATCCAGAGGAGGCCCAAGTGCCGTGCACCTGGCGAGGCCCAGCGGATCCGCCGACACCGATTCTCCATCAATGGGCACTTTTATAATCACAAGGTGATAGTCCCCCCTGGTATCTTCCAGTGCCCTGAAGCTGAGAGCACAGGAGCCATGCCTAAGCACAGGCACTGCAGCCCTATGATCCTTGTCACACCCCCCCCCCATCCTAAAGGCTCAGGAGGAAAAGAATCTTGCCCAAAGACCCATTGGCATGACAACTCATTCATGATCTGTGCTTTCTCTGCCACATACTCACTGTCTTTCCATTCTCCAAGTGGTGTGGATTTTTGGCAAGCTCAAGGCAGACCGTAATGCCAATTTATCTTTAGTGAGGCGATGTTCTATAAAGTTTCCCTCCAAGTTCAATTGATCATTCCATGGGAACAGCATGTATCCAGCCATCACTCTCACTTGTTAAATTAAGCCTGCTAGCGGAGGTGTGGCTAGGAGCAAGTGTGTTTGTTCCCAGAGAACCTGAACAACTCCTGATTCCCAGCACCCGCCTTTTGTCCGAGTATGTATTGTACTGAACTTAGGAAAAGATCACCTTCCCCAAATTACATCATTCCACAAACAAACGGAACTGTAAAAGGAGAAGTTAATTGTTACTATAAATGGAATGAGTGGCAGTTTGGGTGAGGCCCTGGTTGGAGTGTCCTGTGATAGGCCATATCCTGCTGCCCTGGGAAATGAAAGCAAAGGTTTCCAGTTTGAGCAGCTGCCTTCCTTGATAGAGCATGACTCATGGAGATGGAGGAACCTGGGAGGTCCTAGGGTTCAGGCCTGAAGGAACAAGTAGGTCAGGTCTTCTAGACGTTATTCAGGCTTGCCCTTGGGGCACCCTGGATTTTGGGATAAAGATTTCAACTCTGCAAGCTGAAGGGAAAACTTCTTTAATCTCATTACCTCCCTTCCGTGCCTTGCTAAGTTTGCAGTCAGTGTTTACAAATGACAGGGTTTTTTATTTGTTAAGTCCAGAAAAATTCAATGTGAAAATCAAGTCTCCTGAAAAAGCACAGGGATAGCCAGGGTTGAAGTTCAATGGAGATTAAGAATATTATATAGACTAACAATAAGACCATATTATAATTTGGGTATCCTTTAAATCTTGTTTCAAAAAAGGTTTAATCTGTAAAGGGTTAAGCTCCAATTGTTAGTATTTGAATAAACATTGACATGCTATTTTAAGAAATTTTCAAAAATTGTCAATGAATTTGTATATGAGGCCAGGTATGGAGGGACACACCTGTAATCCCACTGGTTTAGGAGACTGAGGCAAGAGGATACAAATTCAAAGCTAGCCTCAGCAATTTAAAGAGACTCTGAATAACTTCACTCAAGTCTTTCCCCAAACATGATCTGATTCACAGTGAAGTTAATTTTATTTCCAGCCTGGATAAAACTTTTTAGCTGTTCTCACTGCTTTGTCCTGGCCTATTGGATTTGAATATGGTCTACTAGAGAGAAACATTTTGTGGTTAATGATGAGAAAGCAGCCCTAAGGCTTTTGTTCTCACTTGGAGTTGGTTTGTTTCATCTTGAGTTTTTTTTTTTTTTTTTGAGGGGGGGTGGTTTCTGGGGATTGAACTCAGGGGCACTTGACCCTGTCTCAAAATAAAAATTAAAACAGGCTAGGGATGTGGCTTGGTGGTTTAATACTCCTGGGTTCAATCCCTGGTACCAAAAAAAAAAAAATAGATTATGTACATAAGTTTAGGTTGTTTTCTAATTCTGTGCTCCTAACAAACAAAGAAGAATATTTTGCCCCATGGCTCAAGGTAAAAAATAGTGGGTTTTAACTCCAGTACATTGACTTCTCTAGTGTCTCTAAGAAATATGTCTGGAACATTGAACCTTATTTTAGGCATTGCAAATATCTCAGGAACATGATCTCTGGAGCACTCTGTGAGCTTAAAAGAAAGGAACAGTGAGGTTTCTCATCACAGCCACAGCCTTATTTCCATTTGAACCACCCTCCTAAGAGAGGCTGCTCAGCCAGCCACACACTCAGGCCTTGGACTCTTACCCCGGGAACAGACTTACCTGGAGAATATGGATGCATTTTTCCTGACAGATGTCCTACTTTCCAGAACACAGACATTTTGGACAGTTGGATCACATCTCCTGGGTGAGAAAGGAGCTTCAAAATAGAAACCCTATGTGAAAGCCCTCATTCTTACCTGCTCTACACCCATACCCAGTTAGTATTCACAGAAATTAGGGTACAAATTCCTTGAGTCACAAGCAACAGTTGAAGGGCGGGGGAAAGAATAGTAGCACTGACTTCTGTTGGGAGTTGTTCCAGGGTTTATTTCTTAGAACTGTGTACTTGTACTTCACTCAATCATTTCCACAAACTGTTTTTGATTCACAGTGAGATTGGTTTTATTTCCAAACTGGGTAAAATATTTTAGCTGTTCCTATACTGCTTTGTCCTGGCCTATTGTATTTGAATGTGGTCTATTAGAGAGAAACCTTTTTGTGGTTAGAGTTGAGAAAGCAGCCCTAAGACTTTTGTTCCCACTTGGAATTGGTTGGCTTCATCTTGAATATCTGTTTTTTTGTGGGGGGGGGTGGTGGGAGGTTTCTAAGAATTGAATTCAGGGGCACTTGAACACTGAGCCATAACCCCAGCCCTATTTTGTTTTATTTAGAGGCAGGGTCTCACTGAGTTGCTTAGCACCTCACTTTTGCTAAGACTGGCTTTGAACTCAGGATCCCGCCTCAGCCTCCTGAGCTGCTGGGATTACAGGCATGCGCCATGTGCCTGGCTCATCTTGAGTTTCTCAATGCTTTGTGCAGAAGAAACACCAACAGTCTCTTGTAAATAAGACCTTTCAACTCCTTGAAATGGCTTTACCGCTCTTTTCCATGTTTCTTGGGAACCGATGTCTTTCTGAATAACGTACAACCCAGAGTCAGTCTAGTTCTCACCTATGGAAGAAGCAGATTGGGCTTTGAGGCTGCCTCTGGATCTTATCAGAATAGAGACCAGCTGGGGTTACTGAGAAAGTCCCTTAATCACCCTGACTCTCAAATACTCTCCTGAGAAAGCATACCAGAGAGGAGGAATATGTGAATTTGAACTCAGCTTAGAAAGGAAAGAGAACTGACTACTTGCAGAGTAGTCAGTTTCTTCAGGAGGCACCTGAACCCAGAGTTAATGAGCGGCTTTAAGCATTGCAGAATCCTTATGTGGCAAAGTTCTTTCTAGATAGATGACCCTGAGCAGCTATTTAACCTCCTATAATCCTATGTTTTCTAAGAAAAAGGGAAGACATTATAGGCACTTAAAATGGTTGCTATGAGGATTAAATCAAAGATTGGATGTAAAATATTTAGCAGGTTCACTACATGGTTAGTATTTACTGAGGACTTATTAAGTATCAGGCAATGTCCTAGGTGATTTCATATTCAGATATTCCTCCACTTGTGTTTTAGTCACCTTTTTCACTGCTGTGACTAAAGGACGCAACCAGAACAATTGTAGAGGAGGAAAATTTTATTTGAGGGCTCACAATTGCAGAGTTTTCAGTTCATATACAGCTAGCTTCATTTCTCAAGGCTCAAGGTGACGCTGAAGATCACGGCAGAAGAGTGTGGCAGAGAGAATAGTTCATATGAAGACTAGGAAGCAAATAGAGTCTCCACTCACCAGATATAAAATATATACCCCAGAGCCATGTCCCCAATGCCCATCTTCTCCAGCCATACCCCACCGGCCTTCAGTTACCATTCAATTAATCCCATCAGATGATTGATTCTCTGATTGAATTAAGTCTCTCATAACCTAATCAATCATCTCTTCTTTGAACCTTCTTGCATTGTTTCACATGTGAGCTTTTGAGGGATGCCTCACATCCAAACTATAACAAATTGTGATGAGATTGTGTCCCAATAAACCCATCATATATTGAAAATATCAATGATGAAAATGTATCTAGTACACCTGACGGACCAAACATCATTGCTTAGCAACACAACATTCTGTAGCGAGATGGTGGTTTTTTCCTTGTGATCCCATGACAGTCTGGGAGCTGTGGCTCACTGCCCTGTCCAGCACTGAGAGAGAAGATAGGATCACATTATCAGTAGCCCAGAAAAAGATCCAAATTCAAAATTCAAAGTACAGTTTCTATTAAATGTGTATTGCTTCTGCCCCATTGCAAAGTTGAAAAATTGTGAGTCAAACCACCATAAGTTGGTGTCACACATATTTGGGCACAAAAGGTGGCACACATATTTGGGCAGCAATTTGGAGACTGGTTTGGAGGGGCTGAGATGAAGGGAACATGTTGGAAACTGCTATAGCGTGACTTGAGGACCTCTGCTCAGGCACCACTAAGAGAATGTAGAATAAATAGATTTGGGACATTTAAGTCTTGGAATCATCTAACACTTGGTGATTCAACCGACAAAAAGAGTGAAGGGAAAACTTGCTTCCCCTTCCTCAGTGAATTACTTCCAGGACCCTGGTTCTTAGGATTCAGAGGGCTTTCCCTGGTGGTATGCAGGGAGAGAGGTTATCTTCCTTAGGGATCTCCGTAAGACAGGAACCATTACAATTTCCCTGAGTGTCTCTAGGTCTGGGAACAGTTTGCACATAGATCTGCATGAACGGACAGGTGCCGGTGTTCCTAGAGCCTGGCCTCTGTTGCTTGAGTGTGCTCAGCACTGTGATGCCAGCCCTGAGCTGTCTTCCCACCCCACACAGACCTCTGTGTTCACTCCTGCCTATGGATCCGTGACCAACGTGAGGGTCAACAGCACCATGACCACTCTGCAGGTGCTCACCCTGCTGCTGAACAAGTTCAGAGTAAGTCTGGGCACAATGGAGCAGCGTTTCCCTGGGATAACGACGCTTTGCTGTTTTGCTGGGAGGAGAGCTGGAGAGGCTGGGGAGGGCTGCACACTAGCAAGGTTTCCTCTGCTGAACCTGATATCTCTGGTATTTTCAGTAAAGAGGGAAGTAAATCTCTGATATTTTTGTTGGAGATCTCATGGGTGTCAGGAGGGGCTCAGGCAAAATCATATAATTTTGGTGCCTTGTCTATGTGGCTTTGTGGCTGTGGTTACTTTGTTCCATCTTGTCTCAAAAAGTTGTTAAGACTGACTTTCTGTGACTTCCTGTGCAGGTGGAAGATGGCCCTGGTGAGTTTGCACTGTACATCGTCCATGAGTCTGGGGGTAAGTGTCAGCTTCTGCTTCCAGATTATAAAAGCAAGAAAATTCTGCTCCTATGGCAAGCTTGCCAACTGTACTTCTTCCTTGAGGGCTCTGGGCTGGCCTTGCTGGCAGTAAGCAGCCCTCCTATACTGGCATATACTGCACTTAAACCACACACCTTCTTCCCCAACCCCAACCCAGGCACACTTGCCATCACTCTCAGAATCCCACCAAAATTGTGCACAAAGCCACCATCACCAACCTCTTCAAATAAAACGGACTTTTCTCAAGCTCATGGTGATTCAGTCAGGAGAGGTGGGGAGTGCAGGCCAGAAGCCGTGACACAGAGCTGCTGCCACAGAGCCTGCATGCCTCTCTCTGCAGCACTGGCGTAGCAATGTCCTGTGACTGAGCTGGCCTGCACTTCCTCATTTCTTTTCCCACTCCTGTCCACTCAGCTCCTGTTTCTTTGCTGGCTGGATTTTGTTGAATGACACTATAGGAAAAGGAAAAAAGTATTTTCCCTCTACCCTCCTTTTTTGTAAATAAGATTGGGAAGAGAAAAACAAAAGGGGGTTTGTGAACAGGTGCATGGTGTATACCTATGGGAGCTCTCAGGAATGAGTGACTCAAAGGGGCGGTTAGAAATTGGGCTTTCAAAGCACTTCAGCAGAAGAATAAGTGTTTAGAAAAGTGACCAAACAAAGAAGGGATTTGAGTTTCCAGGGAGGCAAATAGTGTGAAGGCCAAGATATCAGGGAATTAATGGGAGATGAGGACTAGTTTCAATATTAACTATGTAGATTCCTCTGATGCTAGTTCTGAGATGACAAGGGTCTAGAGCTGTCTCTGATAATTAACTTCTGTCCTTTCTGGTAGAGGGGGAAAGGGACACATTGATAATTTTATTTTCTGCTTTTAAGCAAATAGGATCAGAACACGGAGCTTTTCTTGTATCCATTCCTTCTCAGTTGCCTTGAGCTCAACATAATCCCGTGCCAAAGTGGCAGATTGGGGTTGGCTGGTCCTGAAGCCTTTCCACAGGAAGTGAGGTCTGAAGAGGGTTCCCTGAGCTCCCTGAACATGCATTCCCTACAGTGTTCCTGTCCTGGTACAAAGAGAGACATTTCCAACCTCTTATGGATTTTACAAATTGCCTTTTGTTTCAGAGAGGACAAAATTGAAAGACAGCGAGTATCCACTGATTTCCAGAATCCTGCATGGACCCTGTGAGAAGATCGTCCAGATCTTCCTGATGGAAGCCGACTTGGGCGAGGAAGTCCCCCACGATGTGAGTAGGGGCTAGATGGGGGCCTGCTTCCTTGGGAGGGTCTAGGAGGAATCATGTGGATTCCAGAGGGCTCTAAAGCTGACCTTGGCCAGAATCCTCTCAGGTGATGTCTCCTGGGACCACACAGCTGTCCTGAAAGGGCTCCAGTTCCCCTTCTTCATAGTGACCACCAGCTTCGTCAGCTGGCTTAGAAGAAAGAGGTTGAGTCCTAGAAAACTGGGGCGCTGTGCTTTTACTCTCACACTAGTGAACCCTCTTCCTTCTTTGGAGTGTACCTTTATTGTCATTACATTCAAGACCCACACCAGAGCTCCTTGACTGGGGCCTATGCAAGGGAAGAAGATGGCTAAGTCCTACCAACAGTCTGACCAGACAATGAACACATGTTCAAACTCCTGTGCACAGAAAAAGCCCTAAAGGTTTGGACCCCAAGGAGACAGTCTAGTAGCCCAGTCTCCCTCAGCCTCTTCCCAGAGCTGGTACTGTTTCATTCCATTGTTAAAAACAATGCTGTTCTCACCAGCCTCCCCACACCCACCTGTAGAGAACACCCAGTGTGACAATGCTGCAGTATTGAATGCTCTTCCTAATATTCAACTCAATATTTCCTCCCAGGGATAATAGTTGCCTTCGAGATAAGAATGGTTCCCATTCTCCCATCCTACACAGCAGGGCAGTGTTGGGGGTAGGGTGGAAAGAAGGGCAGCTACTTCTGTGGACACAAGATGTTGGCTGGATTGGCCACTATGGAAGAAGCCATGAGAAAAAGAAAATACATTTTGGGCTTCTCATTTAAAGCACATTAAAATGTTCTTGGATTTTCTAGGTCGCTCAGTACATTAAGTTTGAAATGCCGGTGCTGGACAGTTTTGTTGAAAAATTAAAAGAAGAGGAGGAAAGAGAAATAATCAAACTAACCACGAAGTAAGCAGCACTTAATCAGCCAGTCGTGGGTTCTGATCATCAGGGCATGTCTGCAGGGCACACCTGTGCTGGGTACCTGGTGCCCTTGCAGTTTGAGGAGGCCTGCTCGTCCTGGCTCCTAGCATCACCCTCTGGTCTCTCAGTACTGACAGCATACTGGGGTGACAGCCTGCCAAAACGGAGGGAACACAATCTAGACTGCCCAGCCAGCCTTGGCATTCTCAGAATCCTGGAATATAACTGCAGAAAACTGGGAGGGAAAGACAGAGGCAAGAGCAAGGGTGGGCACTAGATATAGTGATCTAACTCTGGAAAAGCAACCACAGAGAGGGCCTGCTAGGTGCAGCTACTGTCTGGTCTGAGATCTTTTGTACTAGCAGGAATACTAATCCTGCTGGAAGGTGGCCATTGTTGGAACTCAAGCACCAGCTGCTATTGCATCAAGGATGAGTTCAATAGAAAGGGGAACAGGGCCTGGCTGTGTGAGATTAGCCAGACTGCAGGTCCCCATGACCTATCTGTCCTTCAGCCACATGGAGCAGAACATGTGGAAACATTCCCAGGGTCTGAGGAAGGAAAGGCAGGCTACTATGTAGAACCTTGGGTTGGTAACTGGTTTGGATTCTGGTGTCTGACTGAATGACTCTTGGAAAACCTCATCCCCCCAACAGCTTCCAACGGTGCATTTGGGCCCCACAGAGGGAGTCTGTGGAGATCCCAGAGTGAAGGATCTCTTGTGACATTGATCATGTCACTTAGGGTTTTGGAGCAGGAAGGGACCTGGGGATCACTTGATCAGTCTACTCAGTGTGCAGGGAGGAAACTGAGGCCCCAAATGAGGAAGGATGTAGCACAGGTTATTTGTAGAGCCTGGGCTGGAACACAGGCTTCCTGACCCCTGACATGTTGCCCCATGCATTCCAGTATGCTCCTGCCTATGCTGGAGAGTTTTGGGAATGGAATTGTAACAATCTCTACGTGGTAAAGAGCCTTACTGATGCTCCTCACAGGAGCAGGCTGGACTCTTCTCTTTGCTTCATAGAGGAGAGGTAGTGACTGCCAATCATCCACTCAAGAGCAGTGATCTGGGTCAGATATCTTTGTGCTCCCTCTCTTCTTCTACTCCTACCTTACTGCCCCTCCAGCCTCAGTGAGTCCCCTTGTCTTTGTCTCCCTCCAGGTTCCAAGCCCTGCGTCTGACAATGCTGCAACGCCTAGAACAGCTGGTGGAGGCCAAATAGCAAGCCAGCACATGTCTCTTCTAATGCCCACTGCAGCAAGTGCACATGGAGTCCCAGCAGCCAGGCCTTGACTGGTCACACTCATTAATGGCTGCCTGAGGAATCTAGTGCCTGTGTTTTTAACCTGTCTGAAGTCTAAGCATTGTGAGTCCTGCATTCCTATCCTTGGCTCCATAGTGAGCACCCACAGGAAGCAAACCCAGGCCCCAGGAGCCAGGAACTTGCCAATTGTGTTCTGTTTGGCAGGCTAGCCTTGACGTGATTGGCACTGAAACTGAGCCAATGGCTGTGTCTCCTGCTCAGGAGAATAGTATCTGACTAGCCCCTGGGGTGTAGGCTTCATCCATTGGCCTAGTACCTGGCTTAGAGTTCCAGTAGGGCCACCAAGCACTCACTGTCCTCATTCTCCATGTGCACCACGAGATCCCTGTCAATCCCATATCATACTGCTACTTGGTTACTCTACTGGGGAAAGCAGGTGTTGCCAGAAGTTATGGGATATACCCTGTTTCCAGCTATCACTTTATCACAATATCCCAGGCCTCTAAACCTCTTTGCACAGCCCAGCACCTCTACTGCAGAGCCTAGATCAGGAATAAAACCATGGGGAATCCAACTGCTTTCTGCAGAGATCATTCTTCTCAACAAAGCCCAAAGGAATTATTAAAAGAAGCTTGCTGAAAGAAATTCACCAATTTAATCACGTTGGGGAGGTGGCTTCTATGGTATTGAATGGACACTGCTGGCAGTGGCTTAAGAAGGCAGTGCTTGGCCCTCATCACCACTGTCCTGCGGACACCTATCTGCCTCGTGCCTTCTCTGGACATGTGTACTTCCTATGTAGTGGACAGGGGACAACTGTAAACACTTCCCTGTGTGGTAATGAGGAGAAAGGTCTGTTTGGGGAGAAAGGGCTTTAAATTCCCTGGGGCCAGATACTGAGAAATTTGTGTTTGTGGACTATTGGAGAATTTTTGGAGTGAATGAGAAATCCTTTGCAAAAACTGTAACAGTTTACATCAGCCATGTTAGTCTAAAACAGAAAACAGAAGATCAAATTCTTCTGCTGGGGTATGTGAATGGCAGATTTAAAAGGAAGAACCATAAAGACTTACAAAGATAGGAGAGATTTCATCAGCTAGGCATGTAGAAGCTCCTTATGGGGTCCCCAAAAGAGCAGAGCATGGAAACAATCCGGCGGTGTGGAGTCACTTGTCAGGGTAGACTTCATACCAGATTGCCCTCACCCAGATCTGTCACCATAGAGACTCAGAGATTCCAGGGGAGGTCTGACAGCAGTTCTCTTGTCTTTTCTTTTGATTGGCAGTATATTTTCTTAGGTGCTCAATAAAGGTGTGCTGTATTAAACTGAAGAAGTGAAGACCAAGCTTTTCTTTTCTTTTTCTTTCTGCATATCCATATTGACCTCTTCTTCTAATCTCTAAATCTCTTAGAGAGCTTGGCAGGAGAGCCAAAACCCGATTCAACAGGACTCCTGTGTTTTTCAGGCATAGCCTGGGGATTGGTGTGGGGTCTGAGGTGAGACTGCTGTAGGACATGAAGGAAGAGTCACGGTGACAGCCTATGAGTGATCTGAGCAATAAGGTCACCCTGCATCAAAGAATCTTAGCATCAGAAAGGCCTCAGGAATCTTCCAAGCAGTGGCTCAGTAAAGGGTAAAAAAGGAACCAAGCAGAAACTTTCAGGTAATTTTATTTGCTCACCAGTCCATATTTATAACCTCAGGCCTGACAATTGCCCGTCTATTGTTCAGGAGTAACTGAGTGACTGCCTTATGCCAGACCTGGGCCCAGCCTGGAAGAACAAGATGGAGTGACCATCTGTCCTGTGTTCAGGGATCTCCTTGTCAAAGCAGGCCATCTGGGAATGTCAGGAGACCAGTTTAGCAAGCCAGCTAATCTCCCAGGAAGGAGGCCTGAGGCTGAGCTGCGAATGGCCAAGATAGTGTGTGTGTTTTTGCAGGCCAGGAGACCCATGCCAGTGAGGAGCAGGACAGGGGCCCAATGTTTTGAAGCCACTGCAGCAGGAAACTCCATAAGTTCCAACTTGGTTGTTTAGTTTTTATAGATGCTAAAATACTATTTACGGCCTTTTTAGCTAAGTGTCACTTTCAAAATATACATTATCAAAACTGATTCCTGAATATCATAGCTAGGAAAAGTTTGTACCAAGTTGTATAGAAAAGGATATGCCCTCTCCTGGAATCCTCTCAGGGCCCACAAATGTTTCTTTCAATACCACGTTTGTTTTCCTGAGGCAATCAGAAAAGGATTCATCCAGGTCACCCCAACACCAGGATTTCATATTTTAGACTTTGTGATTTCTTATTGATTTGGGGGGAGCATCAGCTTCATATAGTTTACAGTATTTCTCTTATGAGATAGTAAAAGTATCTGAAGATAAAGATCCCTGCAAGAATGTGCTGTCTTCCTAGGCCAGCCCTCAGGGACCAGCGAGTATAATAAACAACTCAGGATAAATCAACATGATTGCAAAAGGACTGGAATCTGGAAAAACAGGGTTGTTTGTCCAGAACAAATGAGCAGAAGGGATCAAAAAAACAGCTTGTTTTTCTGCCATGATAACCATGTGCTACCTGCTTGGAGTGTTTACCAGAAAGTGGATTAAAGGCCTTCTCACTGTCAAATAAATCCATCTACCCAGGATACATCTGGCCCCTAAATTCTAGAGAAACAAGGCCCAAGGTTTATGCAGTCTGACCAGGTGATTTGTAGAGGAATCAAGAATGCCCAATGTGCCCATATGTGTAGAGCACAGGCACCCCGCAGCTGTACAGGAAGCAGTGAGATATCTTTGTCAGGTGCAGGGGTGAGCTGCAGCCCCCCCTGACCCTCAGTTCCTCAGCAGTGTTCAGGCAGGAAGCTCAGTTGGTCAGATCCAAGCAGCTCCAAGTGTAAAAACAGCCAGATGCACACACTATATTTAGAACTCACAAGCTGTGATTGGGAGTGAGCCAGCTGTCGACGTGCTAGAGATGCACAGCATGCAGGATGGGGCACTAAACCCTCCTTGTGGGGCTTTAACAGAGATATTTTCTGCAGGCACAGGAATGGGAATTCCCAGGGTTTCCTTTCCCAAAGAGCTGAGAGGAAACTATCTCAGCTTAGTAGACAGAAACATTGTTCAGGGACCTTGTGCTGAGGGGTCTGCTTTGTGGGAAATGTACCACTCCGGCCCCTTCATTCCTGTCACACTTGACTGGCTTGTTGCACTAGGTTTGTGGCTCCATGTTGCCAAACGCAGCACTCCCTGTTGAGACAGTGCTTGTGACTGTGAGCGTGTGTGTTTGCATGCAAACACGTATTCACACACAAGGGAACAAGGAGTTCAAGGGAAAAAGCCAAAGGAAAAGGAAGCTGTCTTTCCAGGATGTTTCTCAGCTCAGAAAATCCTTCTTCCTAAAAAGAGCCCTTCAAACACTGCCACCCCCTCAGCAACACAGAGAAATCCCAGCTACGGAGAGGCTGACCCTCTTTTGGCTCAAGTTCCCCAGAAAGATGCAAAGTTAGATGCCTAGGCTGTGCATGCCTCCTCCCTCTTCCCGCTTCTTTGTATTTTGTAAGTATAGTGTGTGAACCCTCTCAATAATTTAACTGACATAAAAACAACCTGGAATTCCAGACTTCCTGGCTTCAGAGTCTGACTGTGTCACTGATAAATGTGTGACTTTGGGTGTTTGGGGAAAATTGGGTCCTAGTGTTTGAGAATTGGCCACCAAAGGCAGAAGTTGTCATGAGATTGAAGAAAGGCAGATAGATCCAGGATTGTGCAAAGTGAATTCATCAGTGACTTGCAGACTGAAGTGTGTCTTGGGTGGCAGCAAACTATGGATCTCTGCACATCAAGGCAGAAAGAAAGGATTTATATATGTTTATATGTTAAGCTAGACAAAGGTAATATTTGTACCAGAGTATACCTGGTTTAAAAAAAAAAGACTATTAACATATCCAACATCAATTAAGAAACAATCTGGGTGTCAGTGACCAGAACACCATACTTAGCTGACTATCTTAACAAATTTGTCCTATAAAGTTTGGGATATGTGCCAGGGTCAGCTGGTAAGCAAAATGGTGGTTATAATAAAGACAGATGTAGTCATGTCAAGCTGGATCCTACATTGGGCAAGTTACTTGCCTCAGTTTTCCTATCAGAAAAATGGGGCGATAATAACAATTCCTCTCTCAAGGTTGGTAAAAGGTATATTAGCTTTTAGGGCACTAACAAATGGCATCAAGAATCTCAGCCTACAAGAACATTTATTTCTCTCACATGTTCCATGGGATTGTACTGACTACAGGTGCTCCATTGTATCTTTCCATCCTGGGTCCTAGGCTGAAGGAGCAGCCCCTCTTATTCTTGAGGCAGAGAGAAAGAGCAGAGTGCTGGGGCAGAAGCACAGTGACTCAAAGCTGCTGCTGGGCTGGGATGTGTCTCCCATCCACTCATGTGCAAGTCATGTGATAAAGTCTACATTGGTGGGATGGGCATATTGTTCACTAGGAGGCACGTAGAGTCACATGGCAATGACCAATAATGGAAAATCAGAGAAGGGTGTCACAAATGCACAGGTATAATCATACCATGGGAATATTAATAAGGTACTGCAAGTGCTTTAAACAGTGGCTGGCACAAAATAAACCTTCAGCAAATGTTAACTATTTTTAAACTAATAAATTATGAGCATAAAATTGCACCTAATTATTTTCAGTTCTTTTTTTTCTTTTCCCCTTAATTACTCATGTCCTATTCCATGTTCTTTCTTCATCCTTACCTCTTACTCCATCCACTCTTGGCCATTTGCCTCTTCATATTTCATCTTCCTTTTAAAATTCATAATTCATTACCCAGTTCTCTAATCTGCATACCCCATGGGACTTCTGTGGCTGGCTCAGTTGTTTTCAGGATAGGAAAAGGAAAATCCACCTTTAAGTGGGACATGGCAAGACTTAGTTTTTAAATTTATGGCTGTCTTACAAAACGTTTTTGAAAATTTTTATTATTTTCACATACATAGAACAAATAGTCCTAGCAGATAATCTTTGCTCTTTAAACTTCCTAAGCCATCCCTGGCATCTCTGGTTATTGCCTTTCATCCCCAGCACCTCCAACCACCAATATCAATAGCTTGTAACAATAATTTAAAAATAAAAGTAATAACAATGGCTCACATTTCTTATGTGTTATGTATTGTGTTAAGTGCCTTACATTATTTTACCTCATCCTTTCAATAGTACAGATATTATCTGGATTCCTGGGTTTTATCTTCATGATCTAGACCTCTTTCAGTTTTATGCTTTAACATTTGCAGAGGGAGCTCCTTGAATAACACAAAGTTCCAGTTTTGGAGTATGAAAGAGAAACATGCCTCTTATTTATCTGCCAGACAGATGTGATGGTCCCTGATGTATGAGACTATAGCAAAGATGAATGACAAGAACATACATGTAAAAGCAGTTTGTAAGCTGGACATAGTGGCTCAGGAAGCTGAGGCAGGACGACTGTGAATCCAAAGTCAACCTCAGCAAAAGTGTGGGGCTAAGCAACTCAGTGAGATCTGTCTTTAAATAAAATACAAAAAAAAGGGCTGGGGATGTGGCTCAGTGACTGAGTGCCCCTGAGTTTAATCCCCAGAACCAAATAAATAAATAAATAAATAGAAAGAAGAAAAAAACCACTTTGTAAACAATTAAGCATCTTATATATTCATTCTTGCAACAAATATTTATTGAGTGGCTTCTTCCTGCTGAGCACTGTTCTTCCCACTGCAGTCATAATAAAGAACAAAAAAGATACATCATGGTTGACACATTTATGGTCGTTGGGTTTGCTCTAATGAGATAGGAAGCTTTTAAAGGGTTCTGAACACATGAATAACACGGTTTCACTTGGGTTTTAAGAGGATTATCTGGCTGTGAGAAGAGAATAAAATCCAGTCAGGAAGCCAATGCAATAATCCAACCAGGAGGTGATGAGTGGCCAGGTGGAGATTACAGCAGCAGAGACACTGAAAACAGCTTGATTCTCTATATATTTTGGATATAAACCCATTAGAATTTGTTGGTGGACTGGATGTGAGTTTGGGATGAAAATAAGAAGAGATAACAATGACATCCAAGTTTTTGGCTTGAGTAGCTGAAAACAATCAAGTTGCCATCAATTGCTGGGATGAAGACCACTGAGGAACAAGTGAAATGAGTATCAGGAGTTCATTTTGAGGTATATTAAGTTTGAGATATCTATTACACACACAAATGGAATTCCTGAGTTGCTGATTGGATGTATGAGTCTGGAGTTCAATAATATTTGCCTTCCAGGATCAGTCTGGAGTTAACAATGAGGGAATCCTCAGCGCATATGATGGTATTTGAAGACTTTGGACTAGAGAGGATTCTCAGAAAATGCTGCACCAGCCAGGCTGGCTGAGGAGCAGAAGCAAGAGTGTTCATTACTAAAGAGAAACAGGAGGGGTATGTGGAGAATCACAAGGCTTTGAGAGGAAAAGGGCTGTTTCAAAATTGGGTAGTTCACTTACTGTGTGAACTTGAGCAAACTTCTTCTCTAAGCCTTGGTTTCTTTCCTGTAAATCCAGTGTGATCATTCCCACCTTGGGGAAGCCTTCTGGTGATAAATGACTCACGAAAACCACCAGGAACAGTTTAGGCTCTGCAAAGGGATCTCTCTATACCAGACACTCAATATTTGAATTAAAAATACAGTTTCGAGGCTGGCAGGCTGGTTTCAAACGCCCTGACACAGGCTACGGTTTCTATCGACTATTCAGGTCACTCCTCAACCACAAAGGGAGGCAACCATAGGTCTTGTGGTCCTGGGGTCGCCGCCTGCCTTCCGAGAAGTGGGAGAGTTTAACAAAGCAAACACTGGAAGAAACCAACAGAACGGTCGGGTGGGTCCGGGACCATAGAGGGTCGCTCCGCCACATTCCTAGAGCGGCCGCGCGGCGCCAGCGAAGGGCCCGAACTTCCGGCGGCGGGAGAGGCGCGGGGCGAGCGAGGGCGGCGGCCGGCGCGGCGCGGTGAGTGGGCTGAGGGCGCGGGGAGCCGCGGCGGGTGCCTAGGAGCCCTTGGGCGCTGGCTGGCTGCCGCAAGGGAGGCGCCGGCCGGGCTAGCGGCGTGGCGGGTGCCTCGTGCCTCCCGGCCGGGCCTGGCCCCAGGCACCACAGGGAGGCCGCGCGTGTCCCGTGCTGACCACGGCCAATGGGGCGGGTCCGTGCGGAGCGGCCCAGGGATGCCTCGGGAGAGGAGAGAAGATAACTGGGATACCCAACCAGTTGGGGCCAGAAAAGGACGGAAACGAGTCTGTGAGCCTCGGACCTTCCTTCTTCCGTTGCTCATGGCGAGATTAAAGATCAAATCTATTGTACAAAAGCGTGGACAGCTCACGGTTGTTCTGAGCGATTTATAGTGACTCATTTTTAATTTCTTATTCCCTGATGAAATGCCATTTTTCTTGTCATCCTCTCAGTTCTATGGATGAGGAAACTGAGGCTTACGCCTGTTAGTTTTGCAGGAGAGGAGCTCCTATGGATCAAGTTCACCTGAGTACCCTTACCTGCCCCAGAATGTGTGGTCTCAGTGCTGAACTTGTTTTTGAAAGAGGTGACAGACGCATCAGTACTGCCCCTGAGAACACAGGCTCTGGAGTCAGGCTGCTAAGAATTGGGAACCATGCTGGTGTGTTAACTACCATTGTGCCTGCATTTTCTTAGCTCATAATGGAAATAATTGCATATAGCTGCTATGAGAACTAGAGACCTAGCCCAGAATTAAATAAGCTCAGTGGCTGGCACATAGGCTTCCTGTTAGTATGATGTTTTCAACAGTAGGTATATTTGATAATCTCAAGAGTTTCTGACCTCTTTAATATCAAAGTAGACACGTGGTTTTTTTAAAAGCATAATTATCATTGTAGCTGTTTTTTGAATGCTATGCACCTAATACAATGTCTCCTAGATGGTCTGTAAATGTTTGAGAAAGTTAAGAAATGGGTAGTGCTCGCTCTAATTTTGTTTTCTGCAATTTGCACTTTCTGATACCATAATTATAGCATATATAATTATTGAAAATCCCCACCCGCAAAAGTCCCAGGCACTATTAGGCCTGGAGTCTCTATTATATCCTAAAATGGAAAAAAGGCAAAAAAGAAAAGATGTTATTTATGTTTTCATTTACTTGGTTTATATGCTTTTATATAGAGAAACTCAGGATAGTTATTCCTGTTTTAAAGTCTACTTCCTGACAAGATACAGAGAATAATTTCTATAATTTTATTATTTTTGTAGTCCTTGCTTCACCCACATCTCACCCATTTGGAATTTGTGGAGTTTTCTCTGTTGTTTTGATTATTTTAAATAACGCTGAGGCAACTCTGTAAGTAAATAAAAGTATTTACTTGAAAATTTTAATTTTGTAGCATTTGGCTATTTTTAAAATGCCATCCTATTTTTACATGAAAATTATTTTCTTCCCTTTCTCCTTTTCACGGGTTCTACCTACCATGCTTTTTCTACTCAGTTTTAAACTTTCTGCTACCTTATAAACTTTCTGTTGAAGTTTCTCTTGGAAACTTTGAATTCTTGGATTATTCAATCTAAAAAAAGTTATAATAAAACATCTATTATTTGAGATTTTACTCTTCTAGTATTTAAGGATAAAACTCCTTTAGAACTCCTTACAGAGTAGCTTTTACTTTCAAAACAGTGTATGCTACATAGACCTAAGTTGTTACCTGTAGATGTAAAAGTGGAATCGCCAAATAAATAAGAATAAAGAGGAATATATCATAAAGTAGTATGATTTGTCATTTCCTTCAGATTTGGATGCTTTAGATAGTCACTATTAAATAAAAAGTTTAACAAGAGAGTACATATTAAAACATAATGGGATGTTGGGGATGTAGCTCAGTTAGTACAGTGCCTGCCTTGCATATACAAGGCCTTGGGTTCAATCCCCAGCTCGGCCAAAAAACAAAACAAAACAAAAAAACCCATAAAGATATTCTGTTACACAAATATTGATTGTATTTTGAAGTTATTTCTTCCCATTAACTTTATTTTCTCTCCATATTTTAGTCCATCAAAATAGTGTACTCATTTGATAGTACCTAAAAAAAATTATATTTTCCTTTATCCACATTATCCTCTAGAATTATTATGCAAATATTTTTCCCTTCAGAATTATTTTTTCATTTGTATTGAATATGTTTTTAATTTAAAAATGAATGTAATTTCAATGGCTTGTAAAGGCATTAAAGTTGAATAACTAATAGATCATTAGTAATTTATTTTTATTTTTCATTCTACCCACAGAAAACTGAGCTTTGTAGCACTAGGAAATGAAGCCTTAATTCAGAAGAAGACAGTAGACTCGCTAACGAATACACTTGGCTATTCACCATGAGGTTAGGAAAACCTAAAGGGGGTATTTCTCGAAGCTCAAACCAAGGAAAAGCCTATGAAAACAAGCGTAAAACAGTTCGGCAGCGGCAGAAATGGGGAATGACTGTTCGTTTTGATTCAGGCTTGAGTAGACTGAGAAGAAGCTTGGATGAAAAACCCTATAAATGCACAGAATGTGAGAAGTGTTTCAGTCAGAGTTCAACTCTTTTTCAACATCAGAAGATCCATACTGGAAAGAAATCCCATAAATGTGCTGATTGTGGGAAAAGTTTCTTTCAAAGTTCTAATCTCATTCAGCATCGACGGATCCATACTGGGGAAAAGCCCTATAAATGTGATGAGTGTGGAGAAAGGTTTAAGCAAAGTTCAAACCTCATTCAGCACCAGAGAATTCATACTGGAGAAAAACCCTATCAGTGTGATGAATGTGGCAGATGTTTCAGCCAGAGTTCCCACCTTATTCAGCATCAGAGAACCCATACCGGGGAGAAACCCTACCAGTGCAGTGAATGTGGCAAGTGCTTCAGCCAGAGCTCTCATCTGAGGCAGCACATGAAGGTGCACAAAGAAGAGAAGCCACGTAAAGCCCGGGGTAAAAACATCAGGGCAAAAACTCACTTAGTATCCTCTTGGAAAGCTGGTACAGGAAGGAAGTCAGTCGCTGGTCTCCGCCAAGTTAAGGGCAGTGCTTCAGCCCTCTTTAAAAAAAAGTAAAGTGTAAAGACATAGGCTATCTCTTAGAATTTGGGATACTATAGTAGAGCACTTAGATACTGGATTCTTCTTTAGCATGGAGACATTGAAAGTTTAATGACATTATAGGGCTGAAATAAAGACCAGTTGACCTTATTTTTATGTAACATGGAGCACAAAAAATGAAAATATAAGATCCTTGATCTCACTTGAAATTGCTTCCTGCATTGTTTTGACAAAGAGCATCATGTTTTCATGACATTTGTGAAAATGCAGGCATGCCAATGATTACTCAGTTTTAAGACTTCTGTGGAAGGAATGAAAAGAAAGGGAGAAGGAATTAGTTTCATTAGCTTTGAAGTTATCTGACATTAGGAGAGTTTATGTTTGTAAAAGTTTGTAGTATATTAACCATTGGTTTATAAGTGTGACTCAACTAAATAAAATGTATTCAAGTTCACAGACTTTTTAATCAACAAGGCCCATCTATGTTAGTTTTGTTTTTATTCTCTGCTACTTATGTCCCTGTTTTTCACCAGATTCTAAGAAATCCAAAGTGAGAACTGAATTAAACCACAAGTCTCCTATTTCTACTAATACTATTCTTTGTGTTGGTATTACTGCTGTATCGCTGGTTTTCTAGAAGTTGGGATGGATTTATATTGATTGATGTCCGTGGCCTCTTTTGGTACATGTTTGACAAATTAAGCCACCCTTCTAGACTATATGAATAAACATCATATTCTATCAACAAAATTTCAGCTTCTGGCAAAAAAACCCAAATCAAAACAGGAATTTATAGGCCTTCCTGCCAGCAAGACTTCTGAGCTTTTAATTATCTTGGTTTTCTTAGACAAATATTTGTTGACAGCAAAATTCATTTAATGTGTAAGTACATTGGAGCTCCTTTAAAATTTTGACTTTTTATACTATAGGAATTATTTAATAAGGTTAACATTGTTTCTTAATGTCCATCAGAAAGGTGCCAGGTGTTACACATCTCTGATCAGCCTTTAGCTCAGGTTTTATTTCTATTAAACTCTTAACATTCTTCTGATTTTTTTGATATCTTTTATAATCCTATCAGTTCCTGCTGTATTAATGACCAATTATCCACAAAAATAAAGAATGAAATATTTTGCATAATACTACCTTCTGTTTTTCTTTTGGGATATTGTTTTAATGATTTAGGGAGTGGATCTAAAAATCACAACTTAGAAGAATCGTTTGTTATACCAGTTTTGATTTCCTCAGACCTGAACTTTGCCTCCCTTCTGACCTTACACTGGGTTCAGGGCCATAGATTTTAGCCTTATTGACAACACTTTCATCCAAAAGGATATCCAGAAAATATTTTCTAAGTATTAGGCGATTGATTATAGTATAGTTATCTTTTACAAAACACTTGATCTTTTACTTCCTGTTACTTATAGCCAAGTCACTTTGTAGCAGTGCATGACTGTAGGGCCCTTTTAAGAATCTACTGTCAAGTTATTCATTTTGTGTCTGGAACAGCTTCTGACTAGAACCAACCCCACTTTTTAAGTTTGACCATTTTGAGAGCAACCACAGGGTCTTGCAAAAGACAAAACCTCTGTATTGTTGGAATTTATAGTTTACATTTTTATTTTTGATAGGTTTGTATAAAAGTAAAGCAAGTACTCTTCAGATTTTAGTGTAATCCCAGTTTGACTTAGTTTACATTTCTTAGAGCTCCAAAGCTGAGAACAAATAGATTAGTAGCATGGTAGCTTTCTCTGGTAGTTAGTGGACATTGAATAATGTACATCTGGTAGGTAGTGCATCAGAGTACAGTCTCATTGATGAAAATATGCTAGCTGCTCCTCTCCCAATTCTGAATTTCCAGCATTATTCAGGTGCTTACCAAACATTAAATTCTTTTATTCTTTGGCAGACCATCCCCACTCTTTCTGCCTGTGGTACTGTGGATTGAACCCAAGGACTTTGCAAGTGTTCTGCCACAGAGCTATATCCCCAGAGGACTCATTTTTAAATACAGCATTTGTTTGTTATATTTTAAATCTTGTATTTGGGGAAAACAAACCTCCAAGGTTATTTTTCTTAAGTATTGCTGAAATTTCTTCTGCCCTACACCAGTAAGCCAAATGTGTTGTTAAAAGTCACCTGATTGGGGCTGGGGTGGTGGCTCAGTGGTAGAACCCTTGCCTAGAATGTGTGAGGCACTGGGTTCTATTCTCAGCACCACATACAAATAAAATAGAGCTCCATTGAAAACTAAAAAAATATTTTTTAAAAAGTCATCTGATTTCTATGCTCTTATTTATTCATTCAATCATTTAATATATGTGGCAGAAATAAAACATTAAATAAGAGAGCTTCAAGGAACTTAGGTTAAGTAGTAAAGCAAGCACAAGAGGCTGTGGGAGCACATAGGGACATCTACTTCAGTGATTCTCAATTTCAACATGCATCACAATCACCTGGAGAGCTTGTTAAACCAGATTGGTGGATCTATCCCCAGAGTTGCTTATTTAGTAGGTCTGGGCCTTAGCCAATTTGCATTTCTAGTAAGAGCTGCTGATTTGCTCCTTGAGCACACATTTTGAGGACCACTGCAGTAACTCATTACTTTTGCTTGTATAAAATGGTGTTCAAGTCATACATAATACTATCTAGATGAGAATTTAACAGTGAATTTATTTGGAGTCAGTTGTAGGTTTGTATCTTAGTTAGCTGTTAATTGGACAATTTGAATTTTTGCTCTGAACTATAAATTGGAGAAGATACCAATGATTGAGTTGTATGAATAAGGAACTCAGCATAGAATCTGAGAATGTTTAAAATGTTTTAGTTGTTTACTTTTTAGATCACCAGAAGCAGAGAAGCTATTGAATCAAATCTGAAATAGTCAATGGCAAAAGTTTTTGCTTCCATAAATTTAAAGGTGAGTTCTATTTTATTTTGGCTAAGCCAAGACTGCTGGAGAGAAGAGTAACTCATAAAGGCAAGAATCATTTAAGATTTTAAAGGAAAATAAAAGGTATGACGCCATGGGAATAACCTCTTCAATATGGAAAGACATAGCCACTAACATAGTATTCATTCCCCATATTAGGGAAAGGTATGCAAAAATTCTGCATGATAGTTTATGTAGTGACTCTGCTTAGGGCCAGATGGCGGTGCAGGGAGAGAGGTAGATAATGGAATGGAAGCTGCTTAGCACAGTAGAATCTACCCAGGGAACAGTACTTTTGACATTCTAGTTTTATACAGGAGTTGTGGGAGATAAGGCTGGAATGATCCTCCAGGAGAATCTTAAATATAATTAAGAATGAAATATCTTTGCTGGAGAGGTGGTGCACTGTTATAATCTCAGTAACTCATGAGGCTGAGACTGGAGGATTACAAATTCAGGGCCAGCTTTAGCAACTTTGCAAGGTCCTAAGCACCTTAGGGTACTTAAAAAAAAAATTTAAAAAGGCTAAGAGTGTAGCTCAGTGGTAAATACCTAGTGGGTTAATTCTTAGTAAACAAAAGCAAAACAATACAGAAAAAAACCCAACATTTTGACAGGATGGGATAGACAAAAAATTTTGGAGCATGGCCTAGAAGGTGATGATCTAATGGGAAATAACCATACTTCTAGGAGAAAGACTTCCCCAGCAGAGACCTTGCTAGAGATTTGGAACTACAAGGGCTTCACCTGCTCCCTTGGGCTCAAAGTCTTATCTTCTTTCATGACCTGCCCCAAATTAAATGGTAGCAACTCTAAACAATTACATCTTTGCTTATTCAGCTTTGATCAACCCCTGTTCTGAGAGCCTTCTAGGAAGTCAGCCTTCATATCTTAGATACATTTCATCCAAATTGAAATGTACTGATACATGTTTTGATTTCTCTCAATTTCCCTTTTTTCTATTAGACTGAACTCCCTGCTTATAGGTCATTCAATTTAAAGTTTCTGTGAAGAAAAACCAAGAAGTATAAAAAGAAGGGTGAAGAAAGAGGTAAGAAGTTAATTTGGTAAAGTTCCCAGCCTGACCACTGGCTATTACAGTCCTATGTAGAACCCAAACACCTAGCCCTTTTGCTTCAGTATTCTATTCTGTGAGAGCTCCTGGTTCATTGCATTATTCATTATGTAGCCTTGCAAATGTTATCAACTTATATTTGTTGAGTGAATTAATGAATGAATGAAGAAATGTATAAAATGACATCAATGATTCTCATAGTCTTAAGGGATCCAGAAAACCATTTACCTTATCCTCTTCAAAACTTGATGTCTATTTTTAAATTATCTGGATTCCTAATTTATGCCCTTGGAATCATATACACATATACATATAGACTCTAACATAGTTATGGAAAACTAATATCACTTACTTTTAAAGTAAGAACACTTCTTCCTTTAAAATCAGATATGAAGCATAAGAGAGACTTTGCAGACTTTAACATAACACACATACTTTTTAAATATTGATTTGGTAACCAAGCAGTTTCAGATGCTATAAAACAGGGAAGCCATTGTAAGTTTTGGAAGATATTTTAAGTTGATAATTTGGAGAGAGGATTCCTCAATGGTTTGAAAGATAGACACTTTGGTCAAGGAGACTTATTTGCATCAGGGGGATCAAGAGATCTCTTAAAATAAACCAAGAGGAAGAAATGTTTGCAATAGGGCTTGAAGAGGAAGAGCAGAAGTAAGGGATACATAGGGTGACAGAATGAACAGACGTGGAGATGTGTAAGATTAAAGGTGCAAACAAGAAGAAACACGATGATGGAGATTTCCAGTGAGGTGACCGGAAGAGTCATGTTTGGAGGAGAAGATGAAACATTTGTTTTAGAAATTATTTACCTTGAGACACTTGTAGAATTATCTGATTGGAAAAGAGTAATAGATATTGGAATTTGTGTGTCTTAATTGTGGAAGATACTGAGGAAAGAAATTAATATTTGGACCATTATATACTAGGTGCTTTAACTTCATTGGATGATTTGATGGTTTGATTGCATTGCCATCAATCAACACACACACGCACACACACAGACTGGGTGGCTTAAACAATAGAAATTTGTTTTCTTACAATTCTGGAGGCCAGAAACCTAACTAGCAGGGTTGGTTTCTGATGAGGTCTTGCTTTCTGATTTGCAGGAGGCCACCCTCTAACTTTGCCTTCAAATGGCCTTTTCTCTGCATGCATGGAGAAGGAAAATAATTGTGTATTTCTGTTATAAGGACACCAGTCCTATAGGATCAAGGCTCCACCTTTATGACCTCACTTAACCTTAGTTCTCATCTTGAAAACTTTCTCCAAATATAGGTTAGGGTTTGAACATATGAACAGGGTGGGGAACACAATATAGTTCATAACATATTATTCTGGATCTTTTTTGGATATGAAAAGAGATCAAATGACTCACTGAAGGTCAAACAGGACCAAATATCAGTGGCTTTTGGATACTTTAAAAAAAATCTTATTACCCCATATTATACTATGTGAGATAAATCTGCCTTTGTAACTGTCAAAAATGAAAATAACCTTGACCTCTCTAACCTCAAAAGTAAAAGGCAAGAATTATATATGATAGCAATAAAGGTTAGATTTATACACAGCCTAAAGCTCTCCTGGTTCGTAGCTTAAATAGCCATCCAAAAGTCTGGATTTATTTGTCCCTTAAAAACCAAAGGTATTGCGGGTACAGTTGTGCATGCTTGTAATCCTGGTGGCTTGGAAGGCTAAGGCAGAAGGATTTCAAGTTCAAAGCTAGCCTCAGCAAAGGCAAAGTGCCAAGCATCTCAGTGAGACCCTATTTCTAAATAAAATACAAAATAGGGCTGGGGATGTGGCTCAGTGGCTGAGTGTCCCTGAGTTCAATCCCAAATATACCCCACCCACCCCCAACCCACCACCAAAACAAAACAAAACAAAAAAACAAAAGGATCAAAAGCTAGGTCATCAGACACTGAGAAATTTATAAGTGACACAAACATATTTCTCACAGTTCTCGAGGTTGGATGTCTAAGATCATAATCTGTTCTGGTGTGGTCCCTCTTCCTGGGTTCCAATATGTCTGCTTATTATCTCTTCACATGACAGAGAGTGCGATAGCTTTATGGCCTTTTCTTATATCTTATTCATAGGGGCTGTATCCTCATGTTCTA